AACTTGAAAACAGAATGCACAGTACAGGATCATCTCTAAAGGTCTTTCAGCTAAAATGCTGCCATTCTTTATTTGTTTCCTTTGAGAATAGAGATATTAACAGAAGCACAATCAATGATTGGCTCATTTTACTTCTCTGCTATAGACATGATACGGTGGTTGGTTTCTAACCACAGCGTTCAAGTGGCTCAAAGCAAGTGGCAACCATGGGGGTCATTTCTGTAGTGAAGCATTTGGAGATAAATCAATCGAATTGAAAACAACTGAAACAATTTGTTCCTTAAGACTAGACTAGGTAATTTCAGTCACTTTAATGATGTGACTGGCAATAAAACCAATTGGCAAAATTGACTGCAGAACAGTGTGACTAGGGGCTCTTTTTTTCCCCCCCACATAGTTTTTGTCAGCATAGCTGCTATGAAGGTTTTTCATCTGAAAGTCTTGAGTAGCAAAATCCTGCTCAGCGTCCTTGGCTCTGTGGTAGGTTTAGTTTTTGCAGCACAGAACATGGTAAATTGTCGTGATCACATACACAACTGTGTGTGTCTTCACCTGTGTGGTGGAATTCGAAGTGTCTGGCCCTAAATGGCTCTCCACCCGGGGAGATGTCCAGCCTGGGGCAACTGTAGCTGCCTGAGTCTGCAGAGATAGACGGTTCCTTCAAATGGAGGACTGTCTTCTTTCTCTATTCAAAAGAGACCACACCTGTTTGATCTACCTTTCTATGGGTCTGGTCACGAATGACTTTAAGCTCTACATGCCAATAATTTTAATCAGAGACTATTTCAGGGTCCACGATGATATACAAGTATGGAAGGTATGGTGGGTTGTTAAGCAGGGCATACTCAGAATCAGCTATGGAAGTTAAACAAATAGACATGCTTGGCTTCACCCCTGTAGACTTTGAAGGAGTAGGTCTAAAGTGGGTACAACTACCTGTATTTTAAAAAGCTCCATGAATACAATCCGCATTGTTGTCTTCAGTCAATCCAGCTCAGCCCAGTTACGGCCTCAAGAAAGGGAACGCTTCTCTGTTCTTTGCTGTATTTCACACAACCCACCATTTTCGTTTTCCTTCCAGATTTCCTTCCATTCTTTCTGTCTTTTGAATAATAAAACTCCAGAGAACTTAACATACAACAGCCATCTTGATAACAAACCCATAGTTCTCTAAACTGTGTCCTTTCTTGTCTCTGTATCAGTATTGAGCATTCCCAGAAAGAGGCCCTGTGCTCTTAACCTACCTTCTAGGGACCCCATGTTGGTCAAGCACCTACTTACTATGTGCTGGGTTTTGTTGGCTGCTTTACCAAGGCTATCTCATTTTCTTTTTGAGATAACCCCGAGAAATAGATATTTTCAATTTTCAGATTAGGAATTGATATGGGAAGATTAAATATATAGCAAGCCGAAAGGTGACATCAGGCCGATGAGTGGAGGATGCAGGGTTAGAAAGAACAGTGATTGCGAAAACCTCTTATAATTTAAGGTCTCTTTCTTTCCAAACCTGAGGTAAGGAAAACAGGGACCAGGGAATCGGAAGGAGAGATACAGTTGAGTGTAAAAGGGGCAAAGGTCGTCATCTGACAATGTTCTTCATTCATGCCAGGTTGCCAGCCAGGCCCCACCACACACCCGGGCAGTCCCATGCTCTCTGGCTCACCCCTGCTGGTAGCTTAGAAGTGGCAGCCTCAGGGCGACTTTTGTTTGATGTAACTTAGAAAACAAGAAGGAAGCAAGTGGGGGAATGTTGAGAAGTCTTTACTTTTAGGATTCTGGCTCCCTGAGACAGAGGAGTGGGTTCCCTTCCGGGGGTGGCGAGGCGAGGCACAGGGAGAAGCACTGGAGCAGATTCTGTGGGGTGTGTGCGTGCGTGCGTGCGTGTGTGTGTGTGTGTGTGTGTGTCGGCGCGCCTGTGCGTGGAGGGGGATCGCTGTACCCAGCGCGAGGCACTGGGGGAGGAGGAAGCGGTAGCAGAGATGTGAATAATTGATTCTTCAGCCGCACCAGACGCTCGGGAGCGGGCGGAGAGCGTGGTTTCAGCACCGCGGACAGCGGCCCGCCGCCGCAGGCGCCCCCTCCGCCAGGCAGCCACCCGGCCTGGCCTGGCCGCCGCCGTGCGCTCCGGGAACCCGCGGCCCAGGGACTGCGGGCTCAGCCCCGGCCCGCCCCCGGGGAGGGCGGCCACGGGCGGGAGATGCGTTCGCCCACCGGAGCTCCAAGCCTCCCTGGCTGTCGCGGGGGCTGCTGCGTCTAGTCGACCGAGAACAAGTCCGTCCCCAAGTTGGCGTGGGGGGCGCCCCTGCCTCCCTCCTCCCCTTCCTCCGAGGCGGCCGCAGCAGAAGCACGCCCCAGAAGCCCAGCGTGGCCAGTGCCGGGATCCAGGGCGGCTAGGCGCTCCCCGGACTCCCGTCGGGAAATGGGGAGCTGAACGCCCGCCCGGCGGCGAGCCGGCCCCGCAGCGCCGGCCCGGAGGGGGAGCTGCCACCCTCCGCCCGCGCCTCTCTCCGCCGGGGCCCGCGGGGATCCCCGGCCACACGCGCGCGCGCGCTCCCACACTCACTCGCACGCACACACACTCGCCCTCGCACACACCACCAGCCCCGAGCCTGGGCTGCGGAGAGGGCTCTCGGGCGCGCACACAGGACCCGGCAGCGGCTGTCCGGAGTGGGGCAGGAAGCCGAGCTCCGGCTCCTGGAGGGAGGCCCCGCGGGGTTGGCCGGAGCATGGGGCTGGGTGAGCGCTGAGAGTCGCGGCCGCAGCCATCAGCCCTGGAGATGACCAGGAGCGGCCACTGCTGAGAACTATGTGGAGAGAGGCTGCGGTGAGTGCTGGCGCGGGACGCGGGGCCTGGGCGGCCCCTTCGCGGGTGGGGGTGGGGGTGGGGGTGGGGGTGGGGGGGAAGAGGGTGGGAGGCCTGGATGGGAGGGGGCGGCAGGACCGCAGGAGGGTCGCTGTGTGGGAATAATCGCACCTCCCTCCCTCGGGGAGCCGGGACCGCGGGAGCCCGAGCCCTTCCCTCCCCCTCTCCTGCCGGCTCGTCGCAAACTCAGCCAGCCCCCACCCCCCTTCCCTCCTCTTTCTCTCCCTACCCCCGTCGCGCAGCAGCTCCTGGCCGAACAACTCCCAGCAGCCGGCGCCGCCGGGGAGGTGGTAGGGGGTGAGGGTGGAGATGCCCAGTTAGCTTCTCGTGCGTGGCCAGCCCGGGGCTCCGGTTCTCCCGTGCGCCCCGGAGCGGAGCTCTCCATATCGGCCACGGGGTCTGAGGGTACGCACAGCGGGTCTTGGGCACTGAGGTCCGGCTTCCCCTCTCTGGGCGAGCCCCCTGTGCGCACAGGGGGCCGTGAGCACTGCAGACTGCAGCCTGCGCCCACCCCCCCACCCCCAGCTCCCCTTCCCCTGCCGGGGAGCTGATCCTGCCTCTCTGTCTCTTTCTTCTCCACCCCGGTAGAGCCCTGCTGCAGAGCCTCCGGCTGGGATAGCCGCCCCCCGTGGGGGCGATGCGGACAGCGCGGGACAGCCAGGGGAGCGCGCGGGGGCCGCAGCATGCGGGAACCCGCTAAACCCGGTGGCTGCTGAGGCGGCCGAGATGCTCGTGCGCGCAGCGCGCCCCACTGCATCCTCGACCTTCTCCGGCTACAGGTACGTCCCAGCGGGAGACCTGGGCTGGGCCGGCCGGGGAAGAGGAAGACTCGACCCGAGGAGAGAGAGCGGGAGAAGGATCAGGAGAGCGAGGGAGAGGAGAGCGGGAGAGGGAGCATCTGCGGCAAGGCGCGGGAGGAGCACCAGGGGGCGCTGCGGCTCCGCGCTCCGCGGCGCTCGCCCCGAAGAGCGCGTCGGCCAGAACGACTTCTCCCCAACTTCCCCTGGCTCCGGCGCCTTCCCCGAGGGGCGCGCGCCTGTGCACGCGGGCACGACCGTGCGGGTATTTGCAGGCTCGCGCAGTTGTGCACCTGGCGGGATACAAGTGTGTGCACCGGCCGAGGACGTGTGCGGACTCCCGATGGCCGTGGGCCCCGCCACGGCGGCCTGCGGCTGTGCGCAGCAATGCGCGCGTGCCTGAGAGGCTGTGCAGCCCACTGCCCACGTGCCCCTAACACTCGGTAACAGGATCTGGGCTGCAAAGCCTGGGGAGGGGCTGTAGGGTTCACGTCGGTTGGAGAGCGGCTTAGGAGCCCACCTTTCCCCCCACGCACGTTCCCAGCCGGCTCCCACGCGCCGGCCCACGGCTGGGGGGGGGATGCGCCTCCTCTCCTCTCCGGGATTCTGCATTGCACGCGGCAAGCGTGAGAGAGGGCGTGTGTGTATGTGTGTGTGTGCACATGCACGCGTGTGGGGGGCGGGCCCTGGAGCCCGCCTTCAGTTGAGTGGAAATCGCCTCGGGATCCCTCCAAGGGAGGTGGCGCGGGCCCTAAATTCCCCCCAGGCACCCCGGACCCCGGGGCGCACAAGCGAGTGTCCTCGCTGCCTTGCACTTGGGAGGGGGTGCCCCGTGGAGGCAGGCCTGTGCTGCGCCCCGCGGGCTCGCAGGGGGCGGGGTCAGCCAACTAGCCCGGCGCGGGAGCTGGGCTGCGGAGTCTCCGCACCGTCTCCTCCGCCTCCTCCGCACGCGCGCGCGCGCGCGCGCGGGCTGGTCTGTAGTTCGCTCCCCTCGCGCGCAGCAGGGGGCGGGGTCGGTAACTTGATCCGCACTAGCCGGGTGGGAGGGGGCGGGTGCCGGGTTTGCTCTGTGCGCCTACGCTCGGGGGCTGTGGTCCCCAGCTACCTTGGGGGGTGTGGTGGGAGATGTGGGCAGAGCTAGGTGTGTGGAGAGGAGGCTGGACACACGGGGGGAGGAGGTTGGATGCAGAGATGGACATGGGGCCAGGGCTGGAGGATTAGCTCGGATTGGAGTTATGGATAGAGTTGGGTGGAGGGATGTGGATGGCGTTGGGAATGGGGAGCGGAGTGGGTGACTCGGTCGGCGGGCTCTGGGGATGGGCGATGGGCTCTCCACGTGGCTCCTAGCGCAAGGGCTGGGTCGGTGATCCCTTCCTTCCAGAACCGTTGCTCCTCGGCCCTGACTCTCCCTCTCCGCCTTGCAGGGACCGTAAGTGGCGACTATGGGCAGACTGGGTTATTGGACCTTGCTGGTGCTGCCGGCCCTTCTGGTCTGGCGCGGTCCGGCGCAGGGCACGGCGGCGGAGAAGGGTCCCCCGGCGCTGAACATTGCGGTGCTGCTGGGTCACAGCCACGACGTGACGGAGCGCGAACTGCGAAACCTGTGGGGCCCTGAGCAGGCAACAGGGCTGCCCCTGGACGTGAACGTGGTAGCCCTGCTGATGAACCGCACAGACCCCAAGAGCCTCATCACGCATGTGTGCGACCTCATGTCTGGGGCGCGCATCCATGGCCTTGTGTTTGGGGACGACACCGACCAGGAGGCCGTGGCTCAGATGCTGGATTTTATCTCTTCACAGACTTTCATCCCCATCCTGGGCATCCACGGGGGCGCATCTATGATCATGGCTGACAAGGTAAGTCGGAGAGGTGATAGGCCGCCGGGACCCGGGAGTGTGCCAAACATACCGCAGCCACCACAGGTCTTTGGGAGCCTCTGGCATCTGTTTGGATTTGAAAGAGGGTCGTGGCCACTCGGCCCTGGTGAGAGCCAAGTCCTGCTTCTCCAAACCCAGAAATGAATGTCAGTGCTTTTTCCCCTGGTTCTGAAAGTGGGGTACTCAGAGGCACCTTGGGTGTGCCAGGAAGATGCAGATGTGTAATGGAGTGGTGGGATGCTTGGAGGTTTCCAAGTAGTGCACAGAGGCGAGCCAGGGGGCACTTGCCACACTATGGCTCATATTTCTATGATACCAATTTTACCGGATTTGTGGGAAAATGTCATTTTTCCCCCCTCCGTGGTAAGTGACTAAAACTATTTTTAAAAAAAGATTAAATGTGGGTATGTTATTGGAATAGAATGCCTAGTTTTTAGGTGAAGCACAAAAGAGCAGAGAAATGTCATGCTTCCATAGACTGTCTACAGTTGGGGGAAGTGGGGTAAAGAATTTGAGAAGCCCTGGGCTGGAGGTGCCCAGGAGAATGTTCCTCTAAGGAGTGAGTGGAGACAATTGACTGCAGACCCTGAGCATTTTCCTACATGTTCCCTGAGTGGGGCTGACAGGGGCACCCAAAACCTCAGATGGAGGGGTTGCCTCCCCAGGATGGGTTTTGGCATGAAGTTGGGAGAGTGTCCTAATGAAAGAAGGTGTGTCCACAGCCCTTGACTTAGAATGAGAGGTAAAGTCTTTCTGTGGAGTGTCTGAGAGTGTTGGTTTGGGGAAGAGGAGAGAGAGATTCCAAGACTGGAGTGAGAGGTTATATGAAGGCCTGGTTTAAGAGTCAGGCAGAAGTGAAGGATCGGAAGAGGGTCAGAAGGGAGAAGCAAGGTGAGGAAGGAGAAAAACATTGGAGTTACCGGTGCACAGGATCTCCATCTGAGCCCCAGGAAAGGACCAGCTGGGGTAGGAACGGAGGAGGGGGTGGGTGTATTTATGTGCCATGGGCCCCAGCCCTGAGACCTTCTTGGAGTGTGTTCCTTGGATAGCAGGAGACATCCTAATGGAGTGAGCAGACATTTGTCAGAGCACTTTCCTTCTGACGCTCTGAAAGCACTTTTATATTCATCAAATCAGATGCTGCCTCTGCCTCAGCAATTCCCACCAGCTCCTTTGGGAACAGTATTAATTCTTTCAGGTCTCCTGGGCTGCAGCACATTCAGCCCAAGTATACAACCGATGCGGTATCTTATTAAACATTCATTTTACATGGTTTACAGCCTAGCAGAAATCCTTCGTGTGGCTGAGCATTTTCCCAGCTATCTCTCAGTTTTGGGGGCGGGGGGGGGGCGCTCCTTTCCAGGATGAAAAAAGTAAGGAGCAGCTGTGCCCTGCCACCAGTTGTTCAAACTGGGAAAGGTCTTAGAATCTACTAGAGCATTCTACAACTTTCAGATGGCGGGCCTGAGGCATAGGGGGCAGGTAATGACTTGGCCAAGGCCACATGGTGGACAATGGAACTAGATCTCAGTTTTCCGTTTGCAAGCTGCGATCTCACATTCCAGCAAATTAAGCCTATTCTTTAACTTTGTCATCACATCTTCAAGAGGGTCAAGGAATTAATCTCCATTTTATATAGGAAGTACTAAGCCATAGAGAGGTGCAGTGAATCAGAGCCTAGGGCTTGTGCATAAGGAATGACCAGCCCTCTGATGAAGACATGAAGAAGAATGCAGTTCCTAGCAGGGGTTTAGAGTATGATTTGGGGATCTAAATATTACCCCCGACTCCTCCTCCACTTCTAAAGTTTTGACCACAGAGGCAACACACGAAAGATAGTAGCCATGCTGAAAGTGAAACGTATGTATTGACTAGGGCTCGGGACAATCAAGAGGAAATCTGGTGAAATCCGACGTAGAGGAGGTGTCTTGAAGCTGGGAGGTCTGGGTTGGCAGGTGTGTAGCTCAGGCTCTTACTGGACCTACCCATGCAAAGAAGTAAGAACAGAGAGCAGGCTCAGAGTTGGGCACCTGTTTGATATACGGTGACCCTGTCCACCATGAATGTCAGGCTCTGACCTACTGGACCAGCAGCTGTTCCTCCCTTAAGGGGTATTAAGAGGGAGTTTTGAGGATGTGCGTGGAAGCATTCTCCGCTCCTGTAGAATGAAACTGCTTTATGGGGAATGGACAGGAGCGTGACCCCACTTAATAGTACAGAAGGAAAAGAGAATCAGGAAATGTCAAGCAGAAGATGAGAAAGGACATTTTGAGAGAAATCAAGATTAGAGAGAGATTTAAGAGCGGACAAAGGGGAGAGGAAAGAAAGTGTACATTGATTCAAAAATGGTGAAGGGAATTGGTTACTCCTCATTATTGTCGAGGCTTTCCGAGTTGGTCTTGGTGGCAGGGAATCAAAGAAGTGAGCGCAGATAATGTTGGGGTATATGTTGGGCCCCATGTGTGGGATGAGCAGGTGATGTTGACAGGAGGTGGGTTAAAGAGTGGTATTTTGAGAAACCTGGATGTGTTAAAAAAGGAAAGAGATTGTCTGAGATGTGAACAGCCCTTCCTTCCATTAGTAGCACATCTAGTTGGCTTGTGCCTTTGCCACCTGTTTCTTTTTGGAGCTGAACGCTGCATGCAGTTTGTTTGGCTCTTAAGAAGCAGCCATGAGACGTTGCCTAAAACCCTACCTTGCTTGGTTGAGTGTGCCAATGGTGTTATGACCCCGAAGCCTGAATCTCCCCAAACTGAAAAGGCCTTTCTGTCTCCTGCTATGATTTAGATGTTCATTTGGTAAAGCCCAGAACATACCTGTGTTGTTTTCACTTCCAAATTGATAACATGATAGTTGATAGTGCCCCCATGGATAGGAGTGCTAGTTAATTTGATTATTATGTAAATTGAACGCTGCCCCCCCACACTATTTTTACCTTTCCCTCAGTCTACTTGACCCATGAAAAAAAGAACAAAGCCTTATAATAATTGAAATATAAAAATAGAAATAATCTGTTAAGTGGCAGATTTTTGTGGTGTTAATTTACAATAGAGATGTTAATTTTTGCTCCTATCAATGGGTGGTCTTGAAATATAATTAATTTAGAAGTAAAAATAAATGGTTGATGTAGATAAAATTCTAATCCTATCTTGGTTTGGCCATTTTGATCCTCTCTAAATGGAATACACTCTGGATGCAGCAATAGCCCCTAATAAATCAGGCATATGCACTAAACCTTCACATTTCTGCTCGGTGTCCTCACATCCTCCACCCTCTCCTCCATTTCTGTTGGCTCCCTGGGGGAAAAGGCAAGGCTTAGATCTCAGCTACATCTATCCATGTCAGTTACTACATGGACTTCGCTTTATATGATGTTTCTATGCATGCCTCATCTCTTCTACTAGACAGTAAATTCCTTGAGGACAATTTTTTTTAAAGTGTGTTTATGTGTATTTAAAATAATGAATACTCCTCCTCCACAGTTTATAAAAATAATTTTTCATTGTAGATGGCTTAGTATATTAATGTTTAAAGAAAACATAAATTTCTCCCCTCTATGTCCTGTCACCAGGAGTAACCACAGTTGGACGTGTGGGTCTATTTCCTTCTAAGCTCCATTTAGTTAGTTATCAGTTTAGGATTATACTGTATATATGGGATGGATTTTTTTTTTTTTTTGGTATTTTGCACTCTGTGGGCTTTTTTTAGTCAGAAGATCCAGGGTTTTCTTTAATTCCGGAAAAATCTCAGCCATTATGTGTTGGATGTTTCCTCTCCAACATTTTCTCTGTTCTCTCCATATGTAGTTTCTTGATGAGTCCTCCAGGTATCTTAAATTAAACATCTTTTTTTTCCAATTCTCTATCTCTCTGTGCAATGTTTGGGAAGGTTTCCTCAGTTCTATATTCCAGTTAACCAACTCTTTTTATTTGTATCTGGTCTCTTATTTTGCCTATCTGTTGAGCTTTTAATTTCAACAGTGGCTCACATATTTCCAAGATAAATAATCGGCCCCTTTTTATACCCTCCCACTTTTTTGTTTGTTTGTTTTATAAAAAACTCTTTTCACTTGTGAATGTAAATTCTTCCTCTGTCCCTTTGAGGATTTTAAAGAACAAAATACTGCGAAGTCCTTCTTTGATTGCTTTAGTGTCTTTGTTTCTTCAGGTATGAATTCTTTCACTTTATAGATTCTGATCATTGGATGTCCTCATATGTCCTCTAATTTTTGTGAATTTTAAAGTGATTTTTGTGATTTTTTTCCTGCCCTATGTCTGCAAGGGTATGTGCTTTTAAACTAAAGCTCATGTCAACATCTCCACTCAGAGCTCTCTCCTTGCTCTATATATCTTGTGGTGCGGGCTTGGGTCCTAGTCCCATGTAAGTTACTTCATTTTGGTTCCTTGCCACATACAGGGGCATATTTTTTGGCTGTGACTCCTAGCAGTATGGTTTTGGGTACAGTTTTGCCTGTTATTTCCTGGGTAGATGTTGGGACCTTTGCTTCCATGGCTCATATTGGACCCATCTCCCATGAACTATGTGGCTTTGATTTTGAAATTGTAGAGTCCTATCTTTTGATTAATTTATTTTCAGGGAGTCCTCTTTATTTTTGATCTGTGATTCTCTTTTCCTATTTCTAAGCAGCACTATGTAAATTTTAAAACATCTAAAGATTTATCTATAAGTTCTGTGTCTTAGGAGCAGAAGAGGGAGGTTACTCAGTGTGTTCACTCTGATTTTGACCCAATTATATTTCACATCTGGCTTTTATTTTTTTCAAACCTGATTATGTATTCATGGAATTTTCCCTTATTATTGGATAGACTTCTCAAATATGATTTTAAATGGCTGTGGAGTATTCTGTTTATACCACAATTATTGAAACTAATACTTCTCTTTTTTCTACCTTTAGTAAGGTTGATTTCTTGTTCACAGTGTGTTCTTTTTGACACCTTGTTCTGATCTTGCCCTTTGTA